AACGGAACAATAAGGACTCGGAAAGATAGGGACACTTGTCGTTGCCTCTTCGTCGTCTCCGCCTATTCTCCCACTGACTGCAGCTCAGATAATGTAAAAGATGAGTTTTGCAGAAAGCTTTCCGACCTTCTACGAAAAGCTAGGCGCTCTGATGTAGTAATAGTGGCTAGTGACTTTAATGCTCAAGTAGGTAAACTTAGCGATAGGGAAAGACACCTAGGTGGATCTTATGGTGTCGTGGCTCAAAGAACAGATAATGGCGACCGTCTGTTGCAGCTATGCTCAGATAACCGCCTGTTCCTTGCAAATACTAACTTTAAGCATAAGGAAAAACATCTTTTAACATGGCGACCCCCTAATTCGTCCCAACGTTGGACCCAAATAGATCACATCGCTATCAGCCACCGATGGAGGGGCTCGATAGAAGACTGTCGCTCATTCTGGAGCACATGCCTAGATTCAGATCATGCTCTAGTGCGAGCGCGTATTTGCTTGCGTCTTACTGGACGTAGGAAAGACGCTGCAAGGAAACCTCTTAGGGGCCTACTTAATGATAGTCAAGTGAAGAGTATATTTCAGGAACAACTAGGAGAACAGTTAGGCAGCCATGTATGTGATGCCCACCCCGAGGCAGCATGGAATAATATCCGAAAAGCTGTGGAAACAGCAGTGATGTCTGCTAGTAAGGTAAACAACAAGGTTAGGGAGTGTTGTAACGGGTGTGAGACTGCAGGTTATATGCTCAGCGTCTTATTGATCGATCGCAGTCCAGTGACACGGAAAACACGTACGGACGACCTAGTGCCCTGATTGGTCCCGCTTCGCAGTCTGTCCAGCCAGTTGAGTCAAGAACGCAAGTCACAGCCTCTGAGTTATGAATCATTGTATTCCAGACATGCTCTATTTATATACCAAACAAGCAAACCACATCGTACCATAAAAATAGTAAACAACATTTACACAATATGTAACGAATGAATTAAATAATAGCCAATAGGGAATGTACATTTAAAGTCCAAGGCCACCATAGACTTAACATGACAATGATTGGCATATTATTCTGTATCCACAACAGGGAGCAACACTGGATCTCAGCAGCATCTATCGTACTGATAGATGCTCGGAAACTCATTCCACCTGCCATTTGACTCTGTTGATCGTGAGGTTCTGTTGCAGAGTTTGTCACTAAAAGGAGTACTAAAGATGTACATTAACCTTACACAGGCTCTCTACTCGAACACAGCCGGTCGAGTGAGGGCATATGGCGAACTGTCATCAGAATTCATTACATCATATGCTGTTCGTCAAGGCTGTCAATTCTCCATTCTTATTTAACTTTGTCGACGATGAAATGAAGCTAGGGGCGGACAGACCAAAACATGACATAAATTCATGAAGTCACTGACAAGTGAACTGAGTCATGTTGGTAGGTGTAGACTACCTGGTTTGGATCCGCGAAACGATAGCAACCAATGGTTAGAGACCCTGAATGACATGGCTCAAAATCGTTTGCAATGGCGCAGGTGCATCCACTCTTTGTGTTCTCCCAAATTCTAATCTTGTGAATTCTTCATGTCCCTTTCTTTTTCTCTTTCCAAATTTATTTCACTGGATTATACTCCTTGAATAACATCTTCAAACCCTAATTTTTCTGATTACAGCTAATAATTTTACTACATCTAGCACTACGGGATTTGAATCGAAAAATGTATCTCTGTGTTATTGTGGTGTGGGTAATCGAACTGATGTACGTATGTACGAACGAAGTTCTACGTTATTACTGACTGACTGACATTGACTTCCAACTCTAAACTTCCGCTTTCGGCTTCCTCCTCATGTGTCACCATAGCCAACGACTCTAGTGCGCAAAACACTGTCCCAGGTCTACTGAAACCTCGCTCCAAACTACACATTGGAGCCTTCAAAGTACACATACTATGTCAAATTGGTCAGCAGGCCTCCTTGACTAAGACCCTAGAACCTCGTACCATTGATGTATGCTGTGTCTACGGAACACGCATACAGGATCCTAGTACGGTCATTCACTTGGCTACCCTCGTCAACACGGAGAGCCGACGATATACACCCTCCATGTTCTTTATTTTGGCATGGTGAGGTCAAATGAATGACGCTACTCGGATCCTGTATGCGCGTTTCGGAGACGCAGCACACATCGATGGCGCGAGATTCTAAAGTCCTAGCTAAGGAAGCCTGCTGTCCTATTTGGCAAAGTGTTCGTACGTTAAAAGCTCCTACGTGTAGTTTGGAGCGTGGTTTCAGGAGACCAGGAATAACGTTCGGCGTACTCGAATCGTTTGCTGGTAGGTGTAGGCATAGCACTAAGTACGAGGACAGAACAAGCACTATTAGAGTGGATCCCCGTTAAAAGTCGTCTATATACTGTTCGGCTAAACGGCTCCGTAAGAACTCGGAAGGATAGGGACACACGTCGTTGCCTTTTTGTCGTTTCTGCCTACGCTCCCACTGACTGCAGCCGTGATGAAGTGAAAGATGAAGTTTACAGAAAGCTTTATGAACTTCTTCATTAAGCTAAACGCTCACACATAGTATTCGTAGCAGGTGACTTCAATGCCCAAGTAGGTAGCTTAAACCAAACAGAAAGACACTTAGGTGGGTACTTTAGTATTCCGGCTCAGAGAACAGATAATGATGATGGTCTGCTGCAACTATGCTCAGACAATCGTTTATTTTTAGCAGGCACTAATTCTAAGCATAAGGAGAAACATAGTCTAACATGGCGACCGCCTGCACCAAACCAACGATGGACTCAAATAGACCATATTGCCATCAGTCGTCGTTGGAGAGGGTCGATAGAAGACCACCACTCCTTCTGGAATACCTGCTTGGACTCCGACCATGCTCTAATACGGGCGCGCAGCTGCTTGCGCCTCACTGGACACAGAAAAGACACATTAAGAAAACCTATTGGAGTTGAACTCAACGATTAGAAGGCCAAAGGTACATTTCAGAAACAACTGAAGTCACACTTCGGCAATTTCGAAACCGAGGCTGACCCAGATGTTGCTTGGAAAGATATACAAACAGCAGTGACATCTGTTAGTGATTTAAACCAAAGAGTTACAAAAAATCAATGGATTTCTTCAAGGTCTATTGCACTGATGGATTCTCGTAAACTCATACCATCAGGCTCAGAACACGATGATGAGCGAAAGCGAATCAGATCTAGGTTAACAAAAAGTCTAAGGAACGACCGTGAACAGTGGTCGGCAACGAAAGCAAAAGAGGTGGAAAATACGGTGGCTATAGGTAACACAAGACAACTCCTCAGACTCATGAAAGAAACTGGAATTAATAAGTCAAGTGTAAGTGAGACTATCTCGCATAAAGACAACACCCTCATCTGCTCCCAATCCAGACGTTTAGAACGATGGGCAGAACACTTTGAGGAGCAGTTCAGCTGGCCTTCTGTTATAACTCAAAGGGCCGTCGATTAGAGGGCAGTGACTTATCGATCGGATCAGGGGATTCAGAATCTTGATAGACTATTCTGGTCCGTTGTCCCCGACTCAGCTAACGGGATCAAGAATTCTTGACAAGGCGTAGAAAGTGTATTCTACAGGCAACCAGCATATACCCGGTCAGGTCAATCAGGCACACAAGTCAAGCGTATTTATACAAATATTTACAATCGATATTGTCATAGTAGAATGTTTTTAAACATTAATCAGTAAGTTCATCAATCGACAACCATTCAAATATTTAATCGATAAGTTCGTCAATTGACTTCTATTTAATCATTTAATCGATAAGTTCATCAATTGACTGCCATTCAAATATTTAAACATTTAATCGATAAGTTAATCGATATTATAAAACTACAAAATATGAGTTTTGGGGATCTATCGTCCCCAACACCTTCAGGTACCCTACAGTTACCCACCATTTTCAAAATGCCCCAAAGAAACGTTGAGAGGTAGACCCTTCGACTATAATTGAATTTCAAAGAGCTATAACGAATCTGAAACGAGAAAGAGCAGCTAATCCAGATGGTGATTCAGTTTTAGCGATTACGCTAACTCACCAGAATCCTCCTTCAAAATCATACAGTCATAAGAGTCGGCTTAATAGGAATCCAAATGGCAAACTTATGTACAGCGCAGGCTATCGCTATCCGCCAGTTTCAGTCACTCATTGTTCGATGGTCAGAACCACCTTTTCTATCTTCCATAATCCATCGTTTATTTTAGATTTTATAATGTATATTCCTTTTCAATTATTTTCATTAGCAATTGTTATAACTTTCATTCTTTTCTTAATAGCTATCGAGTGGATAATTATCTTGACCTTAACACTTTTTCAATAGCCGATAATTACATAACTTCCTTTCAATATCTGATTTTCAATTTTTGACAAGACACCACATTAAGTTCTTAAATATTCAACACCATCCTATCCTACTATAGACTACCCTGTTCTAGTAAATAAAATTAACTACTATTGTACAGTTTAAGTAAATCAAATCGTCCAAAAAATATTCTTCGTTGAATCGCTTTTTTTCTTGTCTCATATCCGTTAGCTATTTAAAAGTCAGGCGTATGACCCATGAGATGTTCGTATTTCAAGATCCTGTTCGAAAGATTGGTCAAAGACTCTTCGAGATCAAAAGTCAACAATGATAGTGTAATTTTTTGTTTGTCGACATCGCCAAATATTCAGAAAGTGATTAACGGACATCTTCAAGAATACTAGTAAATATACATTTTTGCGAAAAAAAATTTACAGTTAGAATTGAGTAGAATAGTTTACTTTACTGGCAGAGTGGTACTTATTCATATCAGTTCCTGACGACTTTATGTTTGCAACTTGATGACTGTCGATTAAAGACTTTAAAATAATTTCTGACAGTTGACCGAAAACTCCAGAAAACCACTATATTTAATCTAAAGTGACGGTAACTCAGAATAAAATGCAACTACGTAATTCGTGTAACATAACATTAACACATCTACAATGCATACCTCTAGCGAGCCAATCCACTGACAACTACCGATAAAACTTTTTGGTTTATCCCCAAAACGTACAATGGAAGCTGAATATCTCTGAGAGATGGTATTGGGCCTGGAGTTATTTCACCTTGCCACATAAGCCAAGATACTAGTGTTTGGAGCGATCGATATGCACAACCCCAATTCCTGTCATCTACTCCGTCCTAAAAATGTTAAAAAATTATTCATGTAGAGACTCAAAGCTTCTGAATTAAAAATATGATGTTACATTGGCAGAAGTCTACGGATACTTAGTCCGTTTACGCAACCTCAAAAAGAACAGTCAGTCAGTCAGTCAGCTACAACGTAGGACCAGGCACATGTATGCATCGGCCCAGGTTGCCATACCTCATTAGCACAGCAAGATGAACACCGGATTCATAGGAGTGGTTAGGTCAAAGGTGGTAATATATAGGAGAAAGATTGCAATAAGGATATAGTATAGGAAGAAAGAATTAGTTCGTAGAAAGAAAGATGTGAAGTGATCTTAATCTCTTAGTTTAAGAGAAGACAGAGAGTGTATACACCGACGCCATTGTGATCGATTCTGAGCCATGTCACCAAGGGTCTCCAACCATTGGTTACGAAAGTCACGCGGACCCCAACCAAGTAGTCTGCATCTACCAACATGGCTCAGACTAGAAGTTAGTGACTTCAGGCACTGATGCCACGTTTTGGTTTGGCCGCCCCTAACTTTCTTCCAACCATCCCCTACACCGGTTAGCATTGCACGTCGCGGTAATCGGTGTTCAGGCATACGTAATACGTGGCCCAACCATCTCAGTCGATGAAGATTCATAACCTCATCAACTGATTTACCATCATTCCCTAATACCCTGCGTCTAACCTCACTATTACTTACCCGGTGATCCCAGCAGATGCCAGCAATATTTCTAAGGCATCTGTGGTCAAATACTAGTAGCTTACGGGTGTCTTCTACTCTTAAGGGCCATGTTTCGCTGCCGTAAATTAAAACAGAACGGACAGCCGCGCAGTATACTCGTCCTTTTATTGATAGACGGATATCTCGCCTCCGCCAAAGGTGACGTAAGTTGGCAAAAGCCAAACGAGCTTTACGAATCCGTGCTGAGATTTCGTCAGACACCAACCCATTAGGGCTGATCAGACTTCCAAGATAAGTGAAGTTGTCAACGCGTTCGACTACTTCACTCCCTATCCTTAGTTCAGGTGTTGACGCAGACCAGTCCTGAAGCAACAACTTGCATTTAGAGGGAGAGAAGCGCATCCCAAACATTCTGGCATTGTTGCTTAGTGCTACCAGAAGACTCTGCATTTTGTCAGCGTCTTCACCAAACAGGACTATGTCATCTGCATATTCTAAGTCGATAAGTGGACCTCCTGGAAGGAGATCAATACCCGAGAATTCAGTCGACGAGAGTGTTATTTCCATCAATAGGTCTATGATGAAGTTAAACAAAAATGGAGAAAGTGGGCAGCCTTGACGGACACCACTTGAGGTTGCAAAAGTAGATGACAGTTCGCCATAAGCCCTGACTCGACTAGTAGTGTTCGAGTAAAGAGCCTTCACAAGGTTTATGTACTTCTGAGGTACGCCTTTCAATGACAGACACTGCCACAGAGTCTCGCGGTCTACAGAGTCAAATGCTGCTTTTAAGTCAAGAAAGACCACCATCGTCGGACGCCGATAGGTATGCCTGTGTTCTAGAACCTGACGAATGGTGAATATGTGGTCGATGCAGCCACGACCAGGTCTAAAGCCAGCTTGGTTCTCTCGTGTTTGTAGTTCACGAGTCTTAGTTAGGCGTTTGATAATTATCGAGGCCAGTATTTTAGATACTATGTTTGTTAAACTAATCCCTCTGTGGTTGTCACAGGATGATTTTGACCCTTTCTTATATATTGGGACGATAAGTGATTGCGACCAGTCAGATGGGATAACGTCTAATTCCCAGATCTTAGCTAAAATATTAGTCAACCTAATCGCTAAAATTGGACCACCATCCTTAAAGACCTCTGGAGCCAATCCATCTGGACCAGCTGCCCTTCCTCGTTTCAGATTAACTATAGCCTTCTCAACTTCAGCAAGAGTTGGGGGACCTACTTCAATGTTCCATTCACTTGTCTGGGAATGGAGGGTAGTTGTAGAGTAGCTGAAGGCCAGCTGAACTGTTCTCTAAAATGTTCCGCCCATCGTTCTAAACGTCTGGACTGGGAGCAGATGAGAGTATCATCTTTTTCCGAAATAATCTCACTTACACTTGACTTATTAATTCCAGTTTCTTTTATTAGTCTGTAAAGCTGTCTTGTGTTCCCTATAGTCGCCGCCTTTTCCATCTCTTTTGCTTTCGTTACCCACCACTGCTCACGGTCGTTCCTTAGACTTTTTCTTAACCTAGATCTGATTTGTTTACGCTCTTCATCATGTTCAGAACCTGATGGGACGAGTTTGCGAGAATCCATCAGTGTGACAGACCTTGAAGAAATCCACTGGTTCCTTGTAACTCTGTGGTTTAAGTCACTAATAGATGTCACTGCTGTTTCCACAGCTGCTTGTATGCCCTTCCAAGCAACATCTGGGTCAGCCTCGTCTTCACAACTACCTAAGTGTGACCTCAGTTGTTCCTGGAACCTACTTTTGGTTTTCTCGTTACTCAACTCAGTTCTAATGGGTCTTTTTAATGTGGCTTTTTTGCGTCCAGTGAGGCGCAAGCAGATGCGTGCCCGTATTAGGGCATGGTCGGAGTCCAAGCAGGTACTCCAGAATGAGCGACAATCTTCTACCGACCCTCTCCAACGATGACTGATGGCAATATGGTCTATTTGAGTCCATCGTTGGTTTGGTGTAGGGGGTCGCCATGTTAGACGATGTCTCTCCTTATGCTTAAAATTTGTGTTTGCTAAAAATAAACGATTGTCTGAGCATAGCTGCAGCAGACGATCACCATTATCTGTTCGCTGTGTCGGAATACTAAAATATCCACCTAAATGCCTTTCTGTTTGGTTTAAACTGCCTATCTGAGCATTAAAATCACCTGCTACGAGTACTATGTCTGAGCGTTTAGCTTTCTGAAGAAGTTCGGATAGCTTTCTGTAAAATTCATCTTTCACTTCATCTGAGCTGCAGTCAGTGGGAGCGTAGGCAGAAACGACAAAAAGGCAACGACGTGTGTCCCTATCCTTCCGAGTTCTTACGTAGCCGTTCAGCCGAACAGCACATAGACGACTGTTGACGGGGATCCACTCTAGCAGTGCTTGTTCGGCCCTCATGCTTAGTGCTATGCCTACACCTGCCAGTCCACGAGAACTTGCCATCGGGTCACCAGACACACGAAGGGTGTATCTCGTTGGCTCTCCGTCTTGCCGAGGTGAGGTCAAGTGAATGACCACACTGGAATCCTGTATGCGTGTTTCGGAGACACAGCATACATCAATGGAAAGAGACTCTAGGGTTTTAGCCAAGGAAGCCTGCTGACCGATTTGACATAGGGTGCGTACGTTGAAGGCTCCAATGTGTAGTTTGGAGCGAGGTTTCAGTAGACCTGGGACAGTGTTTTGCGCACTAGAATCGTTGGCTACGGTGACACTTGAGGTGGAAGCCGAGAGAGGAAATATAGAGTTGAAAGTCGATGTAGGAGGAATAATAGGAATTGAAGAGGAGGTTGATTATGAATACAGTGGTCTTGAGTGCTGTTAGAAGTATGAGGGCGGTTATCACTTCCCGGTTGCCCACACCGTGGAAGGGTTGTTCTGGAGGTACCTGAAAAGGAAATTGGATTAAAGGTGGTCTTAGTGACCTGAGAGCGTGACCGCAGTGCCCAAGGGACAACTGCTTGAGGTCGGTCACACACGACCTTGTTATGGGTAATTTTTGTGTTAGCTCCGTACTTATTGAGACCTTACCGCCGGAGACGGATATCCGTGGGATAAGGCGAGGTGTGCATTTTTAGGGTCGACCTTTTCTAACCCCACCCCTCCTTGTGGGAAGGCAGCATCGCTGTCATGCTGGTTGTCTGAAGGAAACACCTTACTGCTGTCACACCTCTGTACAGTCAGCAGTACGACTTCGCCTTCGGACCTTGGGTTTGTTGCTTTTAGTCTTACCGCTCTTCAACCGACCTGTCTGACATGGTAGGACCTTGAGGAACGGTTGTTCCAGCCAGTATAGCTCGGTTGCTTCATCACGATAGGCAAGCCCGACCACCACGTCAAGGTAGCAACAACGGTCGGGGCAAATCCAAGACAAATATGCACCACAGGAAATTTTATGTACGGTACACACGTATGAGCATCATGATAAGAGTAACTACCTTATGTAATCTGCTATTGATTACACTTATGGATCGATGTTCTCACAGTCCTTTCTAATAAATACAGTTCCAAAATTCCCAACCAAATTCATTGCAAAAGGGTATTTAATTAAATAGTGGAACAGCGTTCTAACTATTTTAAGGTGTCACAAGACTTTTGTACAATATCAGGAAACACGAAAATTAGGTAGATCCCTAAATAAGTAGATCAATCATTCAATTTAGACCACGGTTTTTGAGTAGATTTTAATTTATAACCAATCCTTAAGTGATAACCAATCGAGACCTGTATGAAAGATATTCATTTTGTTGATGAGTTTCACAAATATTTTAGCTGCCTTAGAAATAATCAATCGTATTGCTAAATGGTGTACTTAGTTACAAGTCGAAACCCTGTTTCCCACATTCTAGATTTATCAAAAAAATTTATTCAATCTATGAGATGGTTAAACTATGTACTTAAAACAATTAGTCCCTCTGATAAATTTCGATGTAATGAGAAGAAGAAGGTTATCATGATTATGTGATATATTTGCGCAATACATTTATAACAATCTAATCATGCATCAGTCAGTCAGTAACAACGTAGAACTTCGTACGTACGTACATCAGTTCGAGTTGCCACACCACATTAGCACAGAGATGCAGTGGTCGATTCAAATCCCGTAGTGGTAGAGTTGATAAGAGTATAAGCAGTAATCGGGAAGATTAGTGTTTGGAGATGTTATTTAAAGAGTATAATCCAGTGAAATAAATTTGGAAAGAGGAAAAAAGGAACATGAAGGATTCAGAAGATTAGAATTTGGGAGAACACAGAGCGTGGATGCACCGGCGCCATTGCAAACGATTTTGAGCCATGTCATTCAGAGTCTCTAACCATCGGTTGCTATCATCTCGCGGTCCCCAACCAGGTAGTCTACACCTACCAATATGACTCAGTCCACTTGTCATTGACTTCATGGACTTGTGCCATGCTTTGTTCTGGCCGCCCATAGCTTTCTTCCAACCTACTGAACATCGCACGTCGAGGCAGTCGGTCGTTGGGCATACGTAACACATGTCCCAGCCATCTCAACTGATGAAGTTTCACCACTTCATCAATTGATTTGCCATCCTTACCCATTACCCGTTTCCTAACAACTGCATTACTTACTCGATGGTCCCAGGATATACGAGCAATGTTTCGAAGACACCTATGATCAAATACTAGTAACCTACGGATATCCTCTACTCTTACCGGCCATGTTTCACAGCCATAATGTACAACTGAACGAACTGATGCACAGTAAACACGTCCTTTGTTTAATAGACGGATATCTTGCCCACGCTATAAGTGACGCATGTTGGCAAAAGCTAGTCGAGCCTTCTGTATCCGTGCTGAGATTTCGTCACACACCGGACTACAAGGGCTGATGAGACTCCCAAGATAAGTGAAGCGGTCGACACACTCAACTACTTCACTCCCTATCACTAGTTCGGGTGTCGATGCAACCCAATCCTGAAGCAACATTTTGCACTTCGAGGGAGAGAATCGCATCCCGAACATGCTTGCATTGTTGCTTAGAGTGGTCAGAAGACTGCATTTTGTCAGCGTCTTCACCAAATAAAACTATGTCATCAGCATATTCTAAGTCAACAAGTGAACCTCTCGGTAGCAGTAAATCATACATATACTTGTTAAGACATTTTATATGAAAATGAAAGGACAAACAAACAAATTAAAAGGTAATCAGAAACAAGGATAATAAAGTACACAAAAATAATGTGGAAACCACGCTGGATAATAAGTCAGTATTACCAATGTAAGTTAAGGGTAAGAACAAATAGTTCCGACACATAAAGGGGGTGTCACTTTCCGTATAGCCAAGGCTTCAATAAACCTTAGAATACGCCCTTGAAGGATTTTGTACACAACTACAAAAGCTGACTCGATATCAACCTTATGACCGGTCACAACCAAATGTTTCGCAATGGAGGAAGATGTTTGTTTATCCTGAGATCTTATTTGACTATTAGAATTCACTTGTTTTTGCAACCATTTAGGTATGTGTTCAGTCACACTTACTTGCAGATCACGATTACTTCTGCCTATGCATGTGTTTTCGGACGTACATATAAATCTACACACACAGTGGGATGTGATGCAATCGCTTACGTGCTCTTTACCTTTTTGGTTAAACATAGATCTTGTCTTTTCAATAATGACGAGTCGAGCTGCATAAAATGTCCTATTGATGGCTAATTTAGGTCTTTGTTTCGACATGAGATTATTTAAGTCACCTCTAGACGGTAATGTAAAGTAGACTCGCTTTTTGGTGCTAGAAGCGTTATATGTCTCATCATATTGCAACCTTTCCAAAGGTTTATAAACTTCAATGAATAACCATCATTCACCAATGTTTCTGTTAAGAGCTTCGTGTCTCCTTCAATACTATCACTAGTACAAATATGACTGATCCTATGAAAAAGCCCTTTATTAATCCACTTTTGTAATGAATTGGACAACGAATGCGGGAATTAAGATTTTGCTCCGTTCATATCGGCTTTCTATATACAGAACGTTTGATGGGACCATCGTTTCTCCTACTAATCAGAATGTCTAGAAAAGGGGGCTTTACTTGACTGTTTCAGTCTTAAATAAACATTTACCGGTTAATTTAAGTAATACTTCCTATTAGATAAATAATGCATAACAGTAAGCATTCTCTCCGATGGATAATTTTAAGCATAAACTCAGTGTTATGCATGAAAATATATAATTAAATGTAAGCAAAATGGGAATTTTCACTTTGGAAAGAAAAAACCAAATATATTATAATAAGGTGTGCATTAGCATGATTACATAACTGTTATAATATCTCGTGTAACAACCAATCTACTCTTATTGCTTAGTATTCTGTAGACACTTTACTTTACTTGACAAGTCTCCAAATCAGAACACGGTTGAACAGGGACGTAATTATATTCCAAATAGACAAGGGTACGAACCACAATAAGAAGAACGTTAGTATATTTACAATTTTACACAAGATTCTAGTCTTCTTCAAGTATCCGCCAGAGCAGACTGGGTAGGAAATAACCAACCAGCGTACTCCAACGCAATCGTGCAAGGAATATGCTTTAATCAAATTTATATCCCGTTAGCAATAACATTGTCTACTTCACTTGTAAAAATTATATACCACTGAAAACAACAACCTGGTACAACGCGTTTCGGTTAGCTTCTTTTTTACTGGTTCATACCGAATTTGTACGGATCATGAAAGGCAACTTAATATAAAAGTTTACAACTAGATATCGGACGATTAATACCATAAGCAAACCAATTTCATAAAAATAACATCAACCAATATTAAGTTAAGATAATTAACACATACCTGAAGGTAATGCTTATAAGTATACCGACCTGTAACGATGTAGGTTTGACCTATATTAGGTGGTTGTTTAACGGCTTCATGAGGACACACAAGAAGTTCAGAGGACGGACCAAGCCAAGTGACTATTCTAGGTACTGGATGTAAAGCCTGGCCTCGTCGGACGAGTGGAGTATCCAGTGGAAGACTGAATTCTTGAAAAACACGAATGAATAGGGTGTAAATAACTCTCGTTTGACACTAACTAAATAACATATCTGACGTCATGTGATGTACAAATGATTAGACTAAAACACAAAAATCCAGTTAATTAACTCGCCTTATGTAACAAAACAACATTAAGATAACTTCTTAATATTCGAAATGTATTTATGACGAATTATCCTAACCAAAAATGAAAAATTACGGATTATTTTTGTAAAATGTACACCGATCCATCACGATTGAATAAATGTAGGAATCAAGTAGTATTACTCATAAACAACAATGAGCGGCTTTTATCGTATGAAGACTGACGATACCATATGGCTGATAAGAATATATAAGGGAAGACTCACATGACTTAACTGATAAACAGAAATGGCCACTAGGCCAAATGTTATGAACAAACATTTATTTACTTAGGTGTGATAATAAAAAGATTGATACAAAGCAATAGCTCCAAAAAAGTTTATTTAAAGTGCAAATTTAGTTTACTTACATTACTACTGAACGTCGGTAATTAGAAATAAGACTGATATCATGGAAATGGACACAAATTTATTAAGTTCCTTTTACAAACAAAATTACGAAAGACAGAAATCTTGTGAAGCTGAAAGTGTCAAGCAGCTGCTCATTGTTGTAACGATAGGTTTTCTAGACGTAAGTTGACTCTTAGATTTACGATAATATGGTAGGGTATATTGTTAACATTACGGATCGTAAGCGGAAACAAAGTAAAACCGTGTAACCACGAATGTTTTCTAACTCGGTACACTAAGGCAACACTCTATGGTGCATTCTGAGATAAACTGTCACAATTTATCTGACGTTAAAATATAACTACGGAAAGTTGGATTGTCGTGAATTAAGCAAAATACTTTGTATTTACAAATATTATTAGTGAAAAAATTGTTTCTTTACTAAATAAATTATCTCTAGGTGTTTTTCAAGATGATTTGTCGCATCGAATGACATTTTTCCACTAGTTATCGTGTTGGTAGTATATCTGGGTTGTGGAGAAGGAGAGTGGTGTTGGGTATAGCTGTATTCTATATTTTGAGGATGGTGGTACCTCGGCGGTTGTTGCTATCTTGACGTGGTGGTCAAGCTTGCCTATCGTAGTGAACCAATCGGGCTATGCTGGCTGGAACAATCGTTCCTCAAGGTCCCATCATGTCAGGCAGGTCGGTTGAAGAGCCTTAAGACTAAAAGCAGTAAACTCAAGGTCCGAGGGCGAAGTCGTACTGCTGACTGTGCAGACGTGTGACCGCAGTAAGGTGTTTCCCTCAGACAAGCAGCCTAACAGCGATGCTGTCTTCCCACAAGAAAGGATGGGATTAGAAAAGGTCGACCCTAAAAATGCACATCTCGCCTTATCCAACGGATTTCCGTCTCCGGCGGTAAGATCCAAACAAGTATGGAGCTAACACGAAAACTACTCACAAAAAGGTCGTGTGTGACCGACCTAAGGCAGTTGTCCCTTGGGCGCTGCGATCACGCTCTCGTGTCACTAAGATCGACTCTAACCCAATTTCCTTTTCAGGTACCTTTAGAAGAACCCTTCACCAATGTGAGCATTTATTACTTATTTATTAAAACACATAAACATTGGTATAAGAAGGCACCAAATAGATATGCGTCACATAAATAATTCGATTTGTGTGAGGGCTGTGATACTGCAAGGGTGCCCAGACCGCGGCGAGTGGTTTTTTTTAGGGGGCCAAACTCCGAGCTTTTGACCCTAAGGTCTGACTCACAAGGCAGTGGAGCATCGTAAGGAGATGCAGTCCCATGGTAGCCGGTGACCAACGATTGGTTCATACGCCATTTGTTGCTTAAAGATCCTGGAGCCCATGTGCACCATTGATTTTGGGTCCGGTTAAAGCGCCGGATATTCGCTTTCCGTCCTCTCATTTTCGTAGACAACACCCCCGCCACGAGAAGGCAGTGTGTGGGACTTCCCTGGCAGAAGCTGTATACGCGTGGCCGTGTGAGAGCATTTCGAGAGAGAGGGCGGGCTCACCCCACTCTCGACCATACCAGGGTATTTGGGGGCAACCACAAAGTGATGATTACCCTCATATCGCTAACAGCGCTCAAGATCACTGTATTCGTAATCAATCCTCCTCTTCAATTTCTATTATTCCTCTTACACCGACTTCCTCATGTGTCACCATAGCCAACGACTCTAGTGCGCAAAACACTGTCCCAGGTCTACTGAAACCTCGCTCCAAACTACACATTGGAGCCTTCAAAGTACACATACTATGTCAAATTGGTCAGCAGGCCTCCTTGACTAAGACCCTAGAACCTCGTACCATTGATGTATGTTGTGTCTACGGAACACGCATACAGGATCCTAGTGTGGTCATTCACTTGGCCTACCCTCGTCAACACGGAGAGCCGACGATATACACCCTCCATGTATATGGCGACCCGATGGCTAGTTCTCGTAGACTGGCAGGTCAGTCAGTCAGTCAGTAACAACTTCGTACGTACGTACATCAGTTCGAGTTGCCACACCACATTAGCACAGAGATGCAGTGGTCGATTCAAATCCCGTAGTGGTAGAGGTAATAAGAGTATAAGCAGTAATCGGGAAGATTAGGGTTTGGAGATGTTATTTAAAGAGTATAATCCAGTGAAATAAATTTGGAAAGAGGAAAAAAGGGACATGAAGGATTCAGAAGATTAGAATTTGGGAGAACACAGAGAGTGGATGCACCTGCGCCATTGCAAACGATTTTGAGCCATGTCATTCAGGGTCTCTAACCATCGGTTGCTATCATCTCGCGGTCCCCAACCAGGTAGTCTACACCTACCAACATGACTCAGTCCACTTGTCAGTGACTTCATGGACTTGTGCCATGTTTTGGTTTGGCCGCCCCTAGCTTTCTTCCAACCTACTGAACATAGCACGTCGAGGCAGTCGGTCGTTGGGCATACGTAACACGTGTCCCAGCCATCTCAACTGATGAAGTTTCACTACTTCATCAATTGATTTGCCATCCTTACCTAGTACCCGTTTCCTAACAACTGCATTACTTACTCGATGGTCCCATGATATACGAGCAATGTTTCGAAGACACCTATGATCAAATACTAGTAACCTACGGATATCCTCTACTCTTACCGGCCATGTTTCACTGCCATAAAGTAGGACGGAACGAACTGCTGCGCAGTAAACACGTCCTTTGGTTGATAGACGGATATCTCGCCTACGCCATAAATGACGCAAGTTGGCAAAAGCTAGTCGAGCCTTCTGTATCCGTGCTGAGATTTCGTCACACACCACCACAAGGGCTGATGAGACTTCCAAGATAAGTGAAGCGGTCGACACACTCAACTACTTCACTCCCTATCACTAGTTCGGGTGTCGATGTAACCCAATCCTGAAGCAACATTTTGCATTTCGAGGGAGAGAATCGCATCCCGAACATGCTTGCATTGTTGCTTAGAGTGGTCAGAAGACTCTGCATTTTGTCAGCGTCTTCACCAAATAAAACTATGTCATCAGCATATTCTAAGTCAACAAGTGAACCTCCCGGTAGAAGTTCAACCCCTGGAAATTTAGATGAGGAGAGTGTTATCTCTAAAAGTACGTCGACCACAAAGTTGAACAAGAATGGGGAGAGTGGACAGCCCTGACGAACACCACTTGAGGTAATCAATTCTGATGACAGTTCGCCATAAGCTCTCACTCTACCAGTTGTGTTCGAGTAGAGAGCCTTTATAAGGTTAATGTACTTCTTTGGTACTCCTTTCAGTGACAAACACTGCCATAGAACCTCACGATCAACAGAGTCGAATGCCGCCTTAAGGTCGAGAAATACTACCATTGTGGGGCGTCTGAATGTGTGTCTGTGTTCTAGAACCTGACGTAGTGTGAATATCTGATCTATACAACCACGTCCAGGTCGAAAACCAGCCTGGTTTTCTCTAATCTGCTCTTCACGAGCTTTGATTAGGCGTCGAAGTATTATTGAAGCTAATATTTTAGACACTATATTAGTCAAACTGATTCCTCTGTGATTGTCACAAGAGGACTTTTGTCCTTTCTTATAGACTGGCACAATCAGTGATTGAGACCAGTCAGATGGGATTACGTCCAGTTCCCAAATTCTACCTAAGACCTCGGTTAATCTCATTGCTAATACTGGACCACCATCCTTAAAAATCTCAGGAGTAAACCTGTCAGGGCCTGCTGCTCTCCCTCGTTTCAGATTTCCTATGGCTTTTTCAACTTCGTAAAGGGACGGAGGACCTACATTAACTTGCCATTCAGGTTGACTGGAGATCGTGGGAAACCGAAGTGTGGCTGAAGGCCAGTTGAACTGATCCCTAAAGTGTTCTGCCCATCGATCCAATCTCCTGGATTGAGAATGAATAATATGTCCATCTTTCTCTGAGATTGTTTCGCTAACGGTCGGGTTCCTAATTCCGGTTTCCTTAACGAGTCTGAACAATTGTCTGCTATTACCTATTGCCGCTGCCTTTTCCATCTCTCTTGCTTTCGCTACCCACCACTGTTCGCGATCATTGCGTAGACTTCTTGTCAGCTTGCGCTTAAGCTGACTCCGCTCTTCATTATGTTCAGAGCCAGGTGGAATGAGTTTCCGAGCATCTATCAGTGCGATAGATGCTGCTGAGATCCAGTGTTGCTCCCTAACCTTCTGGTTTACCTTACTAGCAGATATCACTGCTGTTTCCACAGCTTTTCGGATATCATTCCATGCTGCATCGGGGTGGGCATCACATACATGGCTGCCTAACTGTTTTCCTAGTTGTTCCTGAAATATACTCTTAGCTTGACTATCATTAAGTAGGCCCTAAGAGGTTTCCTTGCAGCGTCTTTCCTACGTCCAGTAAGACGCAAGCAAATACGCGCTCGCACTAGAGCATGATCTGAATCTAGGCATGTGCTCCAGAATGAGCGACAGTCTTCTATCGAGCCCCTCCATCGGTGGCTGATAGCGATGTGATCTATTTGGGTCCAACGTTGGGACGAATTAGGGGGTCGCCATGTTAAAAGATGTTTTTCCTTATGCTTAAAGTTAGTATTTGCAAGGAACAGGCGGTTATCTGAGCATAGCTGCAACAGACGGTCGCCATTATCTGTTCTTTGAGCCACGACACCATAAGATCCACCTAGGTGTCTTTCCCTATCGCTTAGTTTACCTACTTGAGCATTAAAGTCACCGGCCACTATTACTACATCCGAGCGCTTAGCTTTTCGGAGAAGGTCCGAAAGCTTTCTGTAAAACTCATCTTTTACATCATCTGAGCTGCAGTCAGTGGGAGAATAGGCAGAGACGACGAAGAGTGTCCCTATCTTTCCGGATTCTTACTGTTCCGTTCAGTCGGACAGCGCACAAACGACTGTCTACTGGGATCCACTCTAAGAGAGCTAGTTCTGCCCTAGGACTCAATGCTATACCTACGCCGGCGAGGCCACGGGAAGCAGAATCAGGGCTTCCAGATACACGAAGCGTAAATCGAGTCGGTTCTTTATTTTGGCATGGTGAGGTCAAATGAATGACGCTACTCGGATCCTGTATGCGCGTTTCGGAGACGCAGCACACATCGATGGCGCGAGATTCTAAAGTTTTAGCTAAGGAAGCCTGCTGTCCTATTTGGCAAAGTGTTCGTACGTTAAAAGCTCCTACGTGTAGTTTAGAGCGTGGTTTCAGGAGACCAGGAATAACGTTCGGCGTACTCGAATCGTTTGCTGGTAGGTGTAGGCATAGCACTAAGTACGAGGACAGAACAAGCACTATTAGAGTGGATCCCCGTTAAAAGTCGTCTATATACTGTTCGGCTAAACGGCTCCGTAAGAACTCGGAAGGATAGGGACACACGTCGTTGCCTTTTTGTCGTTTCTGCCTACGCTCCCACTGACTGCAGCCGTGATGAAGTGAAAGATGAAGTTTACAGAAAGCTTTATGAACTTCTTCATTAAGCTAAACGCTCACACATAGTATTCGTAGCAGGTGACTTCAATGCCCAAGTAGGTAGCTTAAACCAAACAGAAAGACACTTAGGTGGGTACTTTAGTATTCCGGCTCAGCGAACAGATAATGATGATGGTCTGCTGCAACTATGCCCAGACAATCGTTTATTTTTAGCAGGCACTAATTCTAAGTATAAGGAGAAACATAGTCTAACATGGCGACCGCCTGCACCAAACCAACGATGGACTCAAATAGACCATATTGCCATCAGTCGTCGTTGGAGAGGGTCGATAGAAGACCACCACTCCTTCTGGAATACCTGCTTGGACTCCGACCATGCTCTAATACGGGCGCGCAGCTGCTTGCGCCTCACTGGACACAGAAAAGACACATTAAGAAAACCTATTGGAGTTGAACTCAACGATTAGAAGGCCAAAGGTACATTTCAGAAACAACTGAAGTCACACTTCGGCAATTTCGAAACCGAGGCTGACCCAGATGTTGCTTGGAAAGATATACAAACAGCAGTGACATCTGTTAGTGATTTAAACCAAAGAGTTACAAAAAATCAATGGATTTCTTCAAGGTCTATTGCACTGATGGATTCTCGTAAACTCATACCATCAGGCTCAGAACACGATGATGAGCGAAAGCGAATCAGATCTAGGTTAACAAAAAGTCTAAGGAACGACCGTGAACAGTGGTCGGCAACGAAAGCAAAAGAGGTGGAAAATACGGTGGCTATAGGTAACACAAGACAACTCCTCAGACTCATGAAAGAAACTGGAATTAATAAGTCAAGTGTAAGTGAGACTATCTCGCAAAAGACAACACCCTCACCTGCTCCCAATCCAGACGTTTAGAACGATGGGCAGAACACTTTGAGGAGCAGTTCAGCTGGCCTTCAGCTACTCTACAGTTACCCACCATTCACAAACAGCGTGAATGGAACACTGAAGCAGGCCCTCTGACTCTCATTCAGGTTCAAAAAGCCATAGATAATCTCAAACGAGGAAGAGCAGATGGATTGGCTCCAGAGGTCTTTAGGGATGGTGGTCCAATTATAGCGATTAGGTTGACTAATATTTTAGCTAAAACTGGGAGTTGGACGTAATCCCATCTGACTGGTCAAAATCACTGATTGTCCCATTATATAAGAAGGGGTCAAAATCATTCTGTGATAACTATAGAGGGATTAGTTTGACTAATATAGCATCTAAAATACTAGCCTCAATAACTATCGGGCGGTTAACAAAGACTCGTGAATTGCAAACACGATAAAGTCAGACTGGCTTCTGACCTGGTCATGGCTGCATCGACCACATATTCACCATTCCTCAGGTTCTAGAACATAAACATGCTTACCGGCATCCGACAGCGATAGTTTTCCACGACTTGAATGCAACATTTGACTCTGTTGACCGAGAGGTTCTGTGGTAGTGACTCTCGTTGCAAAGTGTACCTCAGAAATACATAAGCCTCGTGAAGGCTCTTGACTCGAACACTACTCGTCGAGTCAGAGCTTATGGCGAACTGTCATCTGATTTAGCAGCCTCAAGTGGTGTCTGACAAGGCTGTCCACTATCTCCATTTTTGTTCAATTTCATCATAGACCTACTGCTGGAAATAACGCTTTCGTCATTTGAATTTTCAGGAATTGATCTCCTTCCAGGAGGTTCACTTATCGAACTAGAATACGCAGATGACACATTCCCTTTGGTGAAGAAGCTGATAAAATGCAGAGCCATTTGGTAGCACTGTCTTACTTTACGGCTGCGAAACATGACCAACAAGAGTAGAAGACACTCGTAAGCTACTAGTATTTGACCACAGATGCCTTAAAAATATTGCTGGCGTCTGCTGGGATCACCGGGTAAGTAACAGTGAGGTTCGATGCAGGGTATTAAGGAATGATGGTAAACCAGTTGATGAGGTTGTGAATCCTCATCGACTGAGATGGTTAAGCCACGTATTGCGTATGCCTAAACACCGATTACCACGACGCGCAATGCTGACTAGTGTTGGAGACGGATGGAATAATGTTAGGGGCAGCCAAACTAAAACGTGACATCAGTCCTTAAAGTCACTAAATCGTAGTCTGAGCCATGTTGGTAAATGCAGACTACTTGGTTGGGTCTGCGTGACCAGTGCTTGGAGAATCTGGGTGACATGGCTCAGGGTCGATCACAATGGCGTCGGTGTACACACTTTTTGTCTTCCCCTAAACTATGAGATTAAAATCGCTTCATATCTTTCTTTCTACGAACTAATTCTCTCTTTCTGTACTATATTCTTACACAAAACCTCTCTCTTACATATTATCACCATCGAATTAACTGTTTTTATGAATCCGGTGTTCGTATCGCCGTGTTAATGAGGTATGGCAACTTGGACCGATGCATGTATGTGCCTCGTCCTACGTTGTAACTGACCTAATTGTCGTTTATTTATTTAAATATAGTGATCATTGATAATATGACTTCCTAGGTCACAAAGTGATATAAAAATACTGTAGGTAGAAAACTGATATAAAGATACCCAGTATTTCAGAAGCATACTGTTGTTGTAGTCCTTTGACTCGACTCCGATATGGATGAATGTATGAAAATGCTACGAACATAAATCTTCCATTTAAATCCGTATATTAACTAGGCTAACCCCGTTGGTGTGACGGTGATAAGAAAAAGTTAAGTATAGGTTTCGTCTGAGGAATTTACTTCAAGCACTCGTTCATCGAGACACAAATTCAAAATAATGAGTGAAGAGTAGAGCCAACTAGATCTGATTAAGCATGACTCGATATTTATAGTCAGACAAAATAAATTACAGATACGTAATGAATAGAGTGAGCAATTACCTCATACGCCCATATAAAAACAATCAAGGTTAGTAAGCGAATAATTAACAAGGTCAGGATTTGACTTGAGAAGGATGAACAAACTAGTCTACCCGGAAGCTAGAATAACCCACGTGGGCTTGACATAGCACTAGACACTACACTATGAATAATGTAGTACAAGTGTCTACATTCAAGAGTCCTTACTATTTGAAAACTTCAGACTAATAAAGATAAATGTTATGATATAATATTATTAATCTAGAATTTTTAAGGTGCCTGAAACATGATAACTTTTTAATAAGACTATTTGTTTAGCCCCACACAGATCTTTGTAGCAAGAAATTGAAGCATTTGTGTTAAGGTTTATAAAATTGCAATTATTGAGGAAAAACGAAAAGATATTGAGGTTATAAAACGTACTTTCATGAATGATCTTCCGCCAAATTCCTTCACGTGTTTCTTCTATCCTCCACGGAGACGTATACTATACATAGAAGACCGAACTACGTAATGATAAGATAATAATGTTTTCGGAGGAAATTTTAATTCCCTCCAAAGAAACAGAAGAGCGCGATGGTAGCTGTCCAAAAATGAAGATAATTTTGTACACAGAGCTCTGTGCATTAATTCATTGTTGCTGAAATCGCAAATCAAATCTATCGGTATACGATGGGAGTAGCCAAATGAATGATGAGAAATCTGTAGAGTTGGAGTGTGATCACAAGTGTTATTATCAAGACTGAAAAATACTATGAGTGCTGCCAAATTTATGTTGTCTTTTAGCTTCCTAAAGGAGTCAATCATTTTAGAGGAATGCTCTTTGGTCGAATTCGCCGATAAGCATACAGATTCATGAACAAAAACAGCCGAAGTAAGCAAGATTTTCAGTTTTAGAAAGCATAAAGATAAAGATTCCTCTGTAGAAAACCTTATGCATATCGGTTTCTGACTGAATATTCTAAGCAGTAAATGTTCTGAACTACCAGACAGTTCACCAACAGACTCACACAACTCCATATGTTCCAGAATGGAGAATATGAAACTATTCACCCGTTAAATCCCGATTGCAATGTCGCCGTTAAAACTCCATACTTCCAACAGAAAACAAAATAAAGTAAACTGGTTCTAATTTATTGCACTCTGAAGAAATAATATGTGCTTAGATCTAACCTGCAGTAGAGAAAGCACATCAGTGTACTCAACCAAAGTTCAAATTAAATGTATACTTATTGCCAATACTAAAATACGATATTAACAAATCACCCGAACTTTCGAGTTGATAATGGAATGACTTGGAATTTAGTTAGGTTTCATAACTGCTAGTTGGAACCGTGGTTGTTTGACGCTCTGTTTTTCGAAATTTTCCACTTGATACCACATACTGTTGAGCCCCAAAAGGCCTTGGTATGGCCGTGGGTGGGGAGATTCAGCTCTTCCTCTCGAAATGCTCTCAAATGACCACATACGTACAATCACTGCCAGGGAAGTCCTATTCACAGCCTTCTCGCGGCGGGGTTGTTGTTTACGAAATTGAGAGGACGAAAAGCGAATGTCCGACGTTTTAACCGGGTTGGCGGACACGGAGAGTCCACATAGGGGAGTTGAAAAACCCTCATTCCAAACCAACGGTGTACATGCGCCCAAGGATCCTGAAGGAAAAAAATGGCGTACGAACCTAATGTTGGTCACCGCCTACAATGGGAATGCATCTCCTGACGTTGCTCAACTGCCTTGTGGGTCAGACCTTTAGGTCGAAGGTTTAAGGTGTGGCCCCCTAAGAAAACCACCTGCTTCGGTTTGGGCACCTGTGCAGTATCCCAGTCCTCACACAAATCGAATGATTTATGTGACGCATATCTATTTTGTGCCTCCTTGTACCAATGTTCATGTGTTTAAATAACTAAATATATAAACATACTGTTGTAAAATTAAACCACTTAAAATATGAAAAGTTTATAGTAATAATTATTACGAGAGAACATCATGACACAGAATGGGGTTCAGTAGAGATGCTTATTACATTAATTAAGGCCTACACTAACTAGTTTTCGTACTAGGTGTTAAGTTGAGCATCCATCCACATAAAAACACCTTTTAAAACAAGGGAAATGAATACCGAGATAATGAAATGAAGAGATAATTAGGGGAATACATGGAACCATGAGACACTTATGCAGAGTACGCCAAAACAAACATGATTAAAATGTTGTCAAACTTATAGGGGAAACCTATAAAGATGAGATTTGAGGACCTAGGAGACTATTCTTACAGTTCACATAAAAGGATACTATAGGAAAATAATTATTTGTCATCACCGAAATATTACCAGAATGAGTGAAACCCATTTTATCCAAGCTGTACAGGAAAGAATAGATTTGGGCGAGATGCTTCTGTATTTCGGTCACGAAGAAAATGTTCCACACAATCTGAAAGTTACTCTGATGCTGTTTACAGAAGCATTTAAAACATTTATAGGATGGGAATCTCATGGACCCAGAAACATCAAAGCATCTTCCAAAACAATGAAGGGAATCACAAGGAATGTTATCCAATGTTATGCACCAACAAATGACAGTAACGACGATAAAGATCAGACTTAGGAGAGGCTGCAATCAATTATAGCGAAGTGCTCAAGAAAAGACCTGACCATCCTGATGGTAGACTTAAACGCCCAAGTCGGGATGGACAACACCAGGTATGAAAATATCATAGGACGAAATGGACTGGGGAAGGGAACGAGAATGGTAACAGACTTGCGATCTTACGTGCATCCAACAAAATGGTTATAGGCGACACAATATCACCCCACAAAACTACATAAATCTCATCGGATCACACAACCCAGAACCAGATCGATTATGTATGCATAACTAAAAAATTCAGGTCAATGACATACTAACAAACTCACAACAGCTCTCAGCAAAAGGTTCCAAGCCTTACAAGACCTACTAAAAACAAGAAACTGAGATGGAGGACAACCGGTAAGGAATCAAAGGAGTACTAACTTCAACGTGTCAGGAAGTACTGGGTCGCAAGAAGCATCATCATAAGGAATGGATTTCCATCGAAATCCTTGGTAGCACTCGGGAAAAGAATACAATGAAGACAGCAGTTGACAACAGCCAAACAAGAACAAAGAAATCGAAGGCACAGGCCGAACACACAGAAGTAAAAAAAACGAATGAAGAAGAGCATTGGAGGCGACAAGTAGAAATATGTGGAAGACCTAACAACGACAGGAGAAAAAGCTGCAACAGAAGGATATATCAGACAACTATATGAGGAAAGCACCCAACTACATCACAAGGCAAGCCCTCACATGTAATCCTCAAATCCAAAGGAGAGAGGAAGATCAAAGAACAATTTACGCCAAGAAACGGAGACAGGCATGGGAAGAATGAACAACGATTGGATAGAACTAGAAAAGAAGACCCAGGACAGAGTGTGTTAGAGAATATTGGTCGGCGACTTATGCTCCGTTGGGGGTAACAGGCGTAAGATCAGTCAAAGAAAACGAAGGCGAGACAATCACCGAGATTCGAGAACAGAGGAACAGATGGGTAGAACATTTTGAAGAACTCTTGAATAGACCAGCTCCATTGAATCCACCACACATCGAAGCAGCACACACAGACCTTCCTAAAGATTTCACTCCACCAGCGATCAAAGAAATCAGGATGGCCATCAGACAAATCAAGAGTGGGAAAGCAGCAGGACCTGACGATATACCAGCTGAAGCAACGAAGTCACATATAGAAGTAGCTGCAAGTATGCTTTACGTTTTATTCAGGAAGATGTGGGAGGATGAACAAATGCCGACAGACTGGAAAGGCGGATATCTCATCAAGATTCCAAAGAAAAGAGCTCTGAGCAAATGTGAGAAATACAGAGGAACCACACTACTATCGGTACCAGGAAGAGTTTTCAACGGTGTTGTTGAACCGAGTGAAAGATTCAGTATACGTCCAGCTTCGAGACCAATAGGCCAGATTTTTAAGGATCAGTCGTATACAAACAAAATCGCAACACTACGGATTATCTTTGAACAATCAAGTGAATGGAACTCGTCACTACACATCAACTTCCTTGATTATGAGAAGGCATTTGACAGTGTGGATGGAGAACATTATGGAACCTTCTTCGACACTCTGGAGTACCTGAGAAAATCGTCAACATCATCAGGAATTCATACGACAGACTACACTGCAAATTCGAGCATAGAGAACAGCTGACAGATGAACTCCAATCAAGGACTGGAGTCAAACTAAACTGCTTACTAAGGAAATAAAAAATAACATGACTTTTACTTTTTGTCTAGTATAAAGTCACCCCAATCTCCCTATTGACGTGTTTTCTCCATAGTCGTGAAAAGTTTGGTAGTCTTCCCCAAAGTTGGGGGCAAATTAGGGCGAAAACCCGTGTAATAGGGTTCTGAAAAAAGTATTGGGGAAAACACAAACTTTCCATTGGAAATTTGAGGATTTCTTGGGGGAACTTTGTGCCGTTTACTTGAAGTTTTCTGTTGCGGTTTCCCCAATATATGGAGATTGGGATTAGTGGATTGGCGAGGTTATAACTTATACACGACCCTAGAGCAACTCAAACTAACTTCGTGAGTCTCTTCCTGCTTACTAAAGTTTAATGAAGGTTTTGAACTGATGTGAGGAACTGGGATTAAAGTGGGTAGTTGTACGTTAAGGTTAGGCATTAGACCTAGAGTAATCGTCAGGTAATGACATAAGCCACTCTGCCAGAATGCAGTGACTGCTTATGGATAAATGCGTTCACTGTCCAAATACATGGCGTCCAAAATCTGATTATTTTAACCATAATTAATAGTAATGTAAGCACGTCGTAATCTGTACCGCAAGCCTTTAAAAAGCACATAGTTCAGATGTTCAAATGGTTGTGGATGAAATAGAAGAAGCTTTCGCTTAACAGGCTTCCGTGTCTAGTAGCAGGGGATCACCAAAGCTTCCAGACAGGAACCTAGGTATAGTGACTGGAAAAAAAGAAATTAGTAACTCATAATAAGATGTTATGTTGAGTCCTTAAGAATAGGTCAAGTTTCCTCTTAAAGGACTCCTGGGAAGTCTCATGGACTAGTTCAGTCGGCAGCGAATTCCAGCATTTGACAACTCTTAAGTAACAGGAGTTGTGTCTACAGTCCGTTCTGCCATGTTGTATCTCCGATTTCTGAGTGTTACCCCTTAGGTTTGTATTGACACTAAGCTTAAGTAGGTGTTTAGGGGGATATCCAGAAGTGTTAAGGATACTGTAAGCCATCAGAAGGTCACCTCTAAGATGCCTATACTCTGATTGGTAAAGGTTAGGTGATTGGAGGCGTTCTTCACAAGGTTTGGATTTGAGTCCCCGAACTGATTTCGTGGCTCGCCGTTGGATACGTTCCAGGGTATCCTTATCATTTTGGAATGAGGGGGAAATACTATGTTTCCGTACTC